CACACTTGTGTGAGGTTCGGCTAGAGCTACGTTCGGCCTGATTCCTGACGGATACGTAGGCAACCTTACATCGAGGTGCGACCGTAATAAAAATGCATTCATATTCACATTCACACACTTACACCGTGATCATATCAAGGGATATCCTATGCTCATCCCTATTCACTTAGAGCTAGACTTGGGGGCTTGATCCCTACATCATTAGCTTACCTAGCCCAAGAGTCACCACCATTTGACTCTTTTAACAAATAATATCCTTCCACACACTTAGCTCTTGTGGCTTAGCTTTAGTGTCACTTTCACACACTGCACAGATACATGACCAAATATATTTCCCTTAGGAACCCTTTGTCATGAAATCTTAACATTGAAGCATGCCTTGTCATATCAAAATCACTCATTAATCATAATTGTCATTGCATCACGAAGTATAAAGTGCTTAGCCTCCGTGCCTAAGTTACCCAAATACTTTCATCATGGAGTCAACAGTTGAGATAGCCTAGGATGGATTAATCCTTGCACCTTGAGAGATAGTATCAAACAACATTTGATTAAGCTCATTCAACATGCATCTTCAAAACTTCGATTCTTTCCTTTTCGTGTCTTTCTTTTTCGGGAGAAAGTCGGTACCCTTCACAAAAATGACGGAAAATTTTTGCTTTTTTGCATTTTCGAGTCGCACGATCACATTACGATGCACAACGAGTCATGTATACATTGAGTCATGTCGTGTCATATCACTTTGATTTGAGTCTAACACATGTGTCATTTCACATTGAGTCGAGTCAACCTCGAGTCAATCACAGCGAGTCAAGTTTATGCCTTGAGTCGTGTCAAGTCGATTGAGTCAAGCAACATTAAACCTTAGGTCAACCCTAAGATATTTAAGCCTTAGGTCAACCCTAAGATAATTGAAGAAATTGGCAAAGTTCTATAGTCAAAATAAATACAGGTGCAACGAAATAGGGAGGATCCTACTCCAATTCTTGGCGCCAGAGATATTCCAGCAGCGATAGAGCTGGAAGCCTCTCAGAAAGGTGATTTCGACCTCATACAACAATTTCGTTGGTACGCCAGTTAGCCCCTATAAGCAATTTGACATGATTAAGTAGTCAGTTTGATTACAATCACAATAAGTGGTCGACCTGATGAAAGATCGTCTCACTTAGCTTAAAGCTCCTAAGAATTGGCTCATCACGGAAACACCGACATACTAGTTTTAGCAGAAGCAAAGTTCAGGCGAGCTTTAGTGATCGACAAACGTTGGTCTTCGGAAATTTCTTCTTCAGAATATTATCGCAACAAACATTCAATCATCGAAGCTCTTTTGTTCAAAGACGCGTGAACATCTTCATTAAAGCTCTTTGCTCCAGAGACGCGTGGGCATATTATTCAAGCTCTTTTGTTCAGAGACGCGTGGATATATCATCAAAGATCTCCTATTTTAAAGCTCTTTCGCTCAGAGACGCGTGGGCATCCTATTATCAAGCTCTTCGTTCAGAGACGCGTGGACACATCATTCAGAAGATCATATAAAAAAGAAGCTCTTTGTTCAAAGGCGCGTGAACATATCCAAAAAAAAAGAAATGAAGCTCTTTGTTCAGAGGCGCGTGAACATGTCAAAAAGAAGCTCTTTGTTCAGAGATGAGTGAACATCGAAACAGCAAGGTGGCGTTCCCTAGATTGTGGAGAGTTGTCACAAACAATTGAGGATTGTATCAAGAGAAGTAATCTTCGATAGTATTCCCTTGGATGTGGAATATTATCATAGCGGAGGAGGATCGTTTCAGGCGAAGCAATCTTCCAAATTGGAATCAGTTACAGGCGTAGCGGTTTTCAAGCGGGATGGCATTCTCTAGCTTGCAGGAGATCATAAAAAAAACAAATCGATTACTTTCAGAGACGTGTGCTCGACGGTGCAAGATACGCGTTTCTTAACTCTTTTATCTGTTTAACTAACGCTAGTCTGCAGGTATCGGCGTTACAAGAATGATCTAGGATCGCAGAACGTTCTGAATCATTCTCCGTCCCTATCGATACTTTGACTTTTGTTTTCGAAACTTGCGTTTCTCCAAACTCAGTCAAAGTGGGGGCTTCAATAGACACCCATTTTTGTCTCCCCAAAACCAAACCCGGTGATGAGTACCTTTCGCGTCGAATCATAATCGAATGAAGTGAAAGTGTGGAAAGTCTAGTGTTGCAGATAAGTTTTAATTTCTTTTCTCTTCTCTCTGTTTTTGAAAACTTATTTTAAGAAAACAGCCAATCCATTTTGGTTGGTCCATGATATGGGTCCAATAGTAGTGTAGTTGGATGGGGCTTGACAAGAGCTTTCCAACGAAATATTATAAGCCCAATTCCGATGAATATTGAGGAAGTTATGGCCAATTTACTAAACTGGGCTCGGTTTGAGCCTTATGTACGACCCAATGATCTAGGGGAGGGCCTAATATGATTTATCATTCCTAATGCAATTAGGAATGGTTTTAGTCTTCTAGATTCTTCTAGAAGGTTCTTTTCATTCCTAATTCAATTAGCATTGATAAATTGACTTTTGTTGACTTTTCAGAGTTTTAATCAAAATCAAATAGCATTTTCGAGGAAGTTATATGATTTTATCCTCCAGTACGAAAAACTTATCTGATTTTCGAAAACGCGTTAAAAACAGGCTTGGCGCCTGACTCCAGGCATTGGCGCCTGGAACCAGGCCTGGCGCTGGCGCTAGTGTTGGCACCTGGCGCCAGTTAGCCAGGGTTTGCGCCAGCTCTATTTTTTGTGCGTCAGACTCTGTTTTGTTTATTTTATCTTTTTGGCTGATTTTCTCTATAAATAACGTATTAAAAACTCCGTTTTCATTCACCAATTCTCACGGATATTCACCTACAATCAGTTTTCATTCATCATCAATTCTCTCTAATTCTCTTCTATAATTATGTATGTTGAACAATGTTAGGCATGTTCCACATGTCACGAGAAATCCGATTTCACTTAGTTTTCTAGATGGAAAAGGTTTCAGTTCAAAGGTGAAGGTGGAGGGTTGTATGTCTACAAGGGTTCAAAGGTAATCCTTAAAGGTGTTAAACGAGAGACATTGTATGTGTTGCAAGGCTCTACGTTATCTGGTTCTGAGTCTGATGTTGTCATATCATCTTTTTGTGGTAGTGTTGAGAAATAGGTGGAGCATAAAGTCACTCTAGGTGGGCGTGGTGGTCCACGTCCGGGAAATATCAGTCAACACTAGGGGTGTTCACGGTGCGGTTTGTAATTTTTTCAAACCGCACCAAACCGCACTTTTAAATAAATCGCACCAAACTGTACCGCAAAATGCGGTTTGGTGCGGTGCGGTTTAACCGTATTTTATTAAAATTATAATTATTCTTTTTAAAACAAAATATTTATTTTATTTTATAATTATTAGTTTATAATTTAAATATTAAACACTTTTTTAAAACCTTTAATTAACTAATAGTCAAAGATTAGCTCATATATTTTAGTCCTTTTATATATTTTTAATAAATGTAGTATAAAAACCGCAAACTAAATTAAAGTGCGGTTTGGTCTAAATTTTTTTGGAAACCGCACCAAACCGCAAACCGCGGTTTGACAAATTTAAAAAACTGCACTGCAATATTCAAACCGACCAAACCGCAAAATTGCGGTTTGATTTGCGGTTTGGTGCGGTCTAAACCGCACTCTGTACAGCCCTAATCAACACACACAATCAGAGTCTAAATCTGAAGCACCACAGTCTTCGCCGATGAAATCAGGTCAGCCTAGTTTGGCTCTTAATTAGTCGGCATGTAAGCTTTAGGAACTCTCCTCAAAGGAAAGGTCGGGAAGACAAGGTAACTTTTGTGCTATTTGTTGGAGAGGTGGATATATCTGAGCCGTCCAAGGGAGGTGTTGCTTATGCTGGGGAGAAGCATTAGCAAGTCGTTTGTTCGAAACTGGTTCCGCAAAGTAAGTCACAAGGTTGCTTGGACTGACAAATTATTTGAAGCTGTTAGTAGCCCTTAGGGGCTAATTTGTGCCCGATGGGGCTAATCCGGTCTGGTGCTCAATGGAGCAAATCTGGTGCCTAGCGGAGGCAAATCTGGGCAAGGAGAGTTTGTTTCTGGTTATTTGTTTTCTGTTATACCCACTGGCATTATGATCAATGCGCGGAGGGTCAGTGGTCAACGATCATCGTTTTTTCTGCTTGTCTATCTATCTTATTCCGGAGTGCTATATATATACCCTAGGGTTATTTGTATCCGCACATATGCTTATTAAGTTATTAGTTGAGTGATTTTTTAGAAATCTGAGTCTCTTATGTATTTCTCATCTGTAAGATCTGAGAGAGATAACATTAGAAATCTGAGAAACAATCGATCTGTTTTCCGTGATTGGTTTCAAATATGTTCTAATTTTGTACTTTGTTTTCCCCAAGATCAATAAAAGTATTTCTCTCGCCTTCCCGTGGACGTAGCCAACACATCATTGGTGAACCACGTAAATCTGTGTGTGTTTTTCTTGTCAATTTCGCATTCATTAATTTGTTCTTTCTTGCATCCGTTTTAACAACCTGTATATATACTAATATCTGATTTCATTGCTTAGGTACTTCGTTCCCATATTATTTTTTCTTTTCCTTCTTGAAGAATTACATTACTTAGGTAGGTAAACCAAAAGGTCAAAAACTTTTATACTTGGTAAAGTAATATATGCTTGAACATGAACATTGGGTATACTGTATTAATTACCAAGTCTTACCTACTAAAAACAATAACAAAATCAAAACTCAAACCATGCATATGACTTAGTTAACATAATTAAATGTCTACTTTCGACCACTTTCACATGATATAGAAGTATGTATACGCATGATTTAGGACCAATTCAGCTCCTAAATAGTGCATTATCTATAACTATATAAAGGGACCTTTGCAATGCCTAAGAACCATTACAACTCACAACTCACAAATAATCTTTTCATAGCAGCAGAATTTGGAAAGGAAACCATGGCAGCTTACAGATTATTCACTTACTTAACCATTGCAGCCCTTACTTTCTCTGTTGCATATGCAACTGATCCTACACAGCTCCAGGATTTTTGCGTCGCCACTAATGACATGAATAATGCTTGTAAGATTCAGTTTTAATTCCTATCATGCAGGATTAGTACTTCTTATGTCTGTTCATATTAGCATTTGTTATTGGACATTTTGTACAACTGTTGACCGACGTTGACATTCAAGACCAAGATATACAAGACCGAGTCAAGATGGTTATGGATGCTTCCTAAAGTCACGGAGAGAATATCTACCACTAAGAAGAAGTCAATTAAAGTTGTTGCACGTATGTGTACTCCAAACCGTCTACATTTATTGAAAGACCAAGTAAAGATTGAATAACCGCTATTTCCTATTTTCATGGAGGGCATCCTCATCCTTCTCCAATCGTCTATTGTCTACATACGGAAAGCTCTATAAATAGAGAACAAGTTCCTCCCATGAGGCATCATCCATTAGCCACTGACAAAAAAAAACCATTTTGATCCACCTCCTGCCAAACCTCCGAAAATACCCATGAACTCCTAAAGTAATTTCATTTATTCTCCACATCATCATTCCACTACAAACACTCCTTCCTTGCTACTATATTTTAAGCCTTTGTATAATCTTGCAAGGATACATTTCTACCCATAATAATGCACCTAATCAATCTCCTTGTCGTACTGCGTTAGTCCTACACCTAATGTACATACATTTACTTATACACTTTTATGTTATCAAATGTAAAATACACATTGTACTTGTAATTATTGGCTTTATGCCCGCATTATAGTGGATTGGTGGCCTCATTGCCACCCGCGGTTTTTACCCACCTTCATTGGGGTTTTCCGCGTCACCATATCATGTCTCCCCTCTCTTTCTTTATTTTTCCGTCATTTACTTTCCGCATCTAATGTTCCCTTATTTTAATTTAGTTGATCTGTAGCCCGTATCCCACATCAAATCCTACTTGCATAAATTTGGCATAAACAATTTGGCGCCGTCTGTGGGGATGCAGCTAGATTGAAATATCAACCCCTACAAAAGTTCCTTTCCAAACACATTTAAACACATTCCCATCATCAAGATATATCCAATCCAGTAAAGTGATTTTATAAGAATTATTGTTCGTGATCCCGGCGATGAGAAGTGGTGATCGACGCCAACTTAACTCAATATGCTGCAACAAGGGCGATTATCTTTGACAGCCTTAAGAGTTTTGGTAATATTTCTCCTTGTGGTTTAATTTAACTAACTATTTTTGCGTCTTCTTTAAGCTATGACAAACTATATCATCACCATCGAAGTAAACGTCACACCCTAAAGGGAAGGACGTCGTGGAAACCATTACTTTAAGTCATGGGTCTCATGATGCCATAAAAATTCAGGGTTTGTCGTCATTCACAATATTATTTTTTGTTTAACTAACATTATTTTTAGGCTATGTTGTCGCCAAATAAAACAGTATTAAAGCTTCGACGGAAGTCAATTCCGACGACAACAATCAGTTCCGACGACAGCTAGTGTCGACGACGACATCAGTCAGCTCCGACGACGAAAGCCAGTTTCGACGACGACATCAGTCAGCTCCGACGACGACAGTCAGCTCCGACGACAACAATCAGTTCCGACGACGATAGTGAGCTCCGACGACGACAACCAGTGTCGACGACGACGTCAATCAGTTTCGACGACACCAGTTAGTAACGTCGTCAGCAGCCTAATATCATCAGTCAGTGACGACAACATTAAAGACAAATGTAGCTTTAAACGACAATGCAAGTAAGCTTTTGCCTAAATGCAAAATTCAGATTTATTACTAAAGACTATTCGATTCTAAAAATAATTTCACTGACTTTTATAACTCATGACATTAGCTTATGTAGCGCTTAAATTTTTATATTTTATCATAACTAATTTATGTCGTACCAAGCGTATTTTTAGATAAAGTAAGGTTACATGTGGAGATTTATAACGTTAATTGATTGTGACATCGGAGTATTGTCGTCGACAACAACAAAGTTGACGATAATTCACCAATCTAGAATGTGACATCGGGGGGCTAAACCTGATTTAATCTTCCCGAGTGATCCAACATTGGGGGCTCGATTTAAATAACATCAATTCTTATCAAGGTAACTTTCTATTATTTAAAATGTATGTCGAATTCCATCAATCTTGTCACAAACCATGGTAGTCACCGACACTATTGAGGTACACCACATTATCGTTTTTAGTTTTTACATTTATACTGTCATGATCATGCTCTTTAATTTGTTGCCTAGCTTAAAGTATTTATTTCTATTTCCATTGGTCATCTTCATAAACGTTTTATTACTTTGATTTTCTAATTAGCATTGTCATTGACATGATTCTACCGCCTTAAAGTTTTACTTGTTATGTCTATCATCTTTGTTGATGTAGTAATACACATAGTTAATGTATGTTTTCGACATTTGGCTTACTTATTTTTATTAATTGATTATCAGTAATTCTTGTGATGAAACATGTGGTTACATCTTGGTTTATGAATCAACGTGATATGCAATATCTAAATCTTTTTACGCATCGTTTACAATTCATATTTTCAATTTATTTATGACTTAATGCAAAAATCCGACATTAGTATTTAGAGTGATGATGAACAGGCTACTCGACGCCAAGATTAAGCTTAACGATTTCAATATTATGTATGAAAACATCATACACCTCGACGCCATGAAGATGATGACGTAAACAAAGATCATGACGACATGTGTGAATAGGGAACTTCAATGTTATAGCGATAACAACCAAGGGTCACACCAGCAAGTTGTAGCGACATTGACAAAGGATCGGAACATCAGATAATTATGATCAAGGGTCATGACGACACAAAAAATACAACGAACGAAGGTGTCAAAGGAAAAAAGTTCATGACCAAAGCTCCAAACAACGGTTACTCACAAAGGCGTTAGTTACACTGACATCTCCAAAAGGGATGAGGAAAACTGCCGCTCAAAAGAACATCGTAGCAAACGAATCCCGGGATAAATAGACCTTCGTGTCAGACGCCAAACGCCCGGTACCTGAACTACCAGTTTAATCCTCAGTGTTCAGCGTCAAACGCCAAGGCGCAAGGGGTATTGGCGCACAATGCAATGATGGCCATACAACGATAGTATTAACTTTTTTAAAGTTATTCTTCAAAAGTACAACGAAAGGATTGGTCGTAACGATTGATCATATTGACAAACGAAACACTGCAAAACGAGCAAGTCCTAAAGCACATACAGTGTCTTAAGTCTACAAAAGTCATAAGCATGTAGAGTATCGTTAGTGTCGATAAAAAATCGTTTTAGAAAAACATTCTTTTATTTATTTGCATGTCTTCAATATTTTGTCTATGAAACATTTATTTTTTGTTCTCTAATTTAAATTATTTTTGTCATGCATCGGTAACATAGACACATAATGTCCAATGTCAGCAGCTCTGGAACTACGTTAGAGTTTACCCTCTGATACAAAGTCATGCAATGATTATATTTGCTCACAAGTCTTTGTTCTCAACGATGTTACAAAAGTTATCACATACAATAAATTTTGTACTTTAAACTTTTAAAGTGCAAGACAAAGCAATCGAATGTTATCTCCGTACAAAGAAAATGTTTGAAATGTTAATGGCCTTGACGCCTGAATTTATTATGACGAAAGCGCCACTTGGTTGTGACACCAAGTGTGAACACTAAATACATCCAACAAACTTAATGTCGGACATCGCAACAAAGTTTTCCGATGTCTTTAACGCCATAAAATGAGTTAACACATTAAGAAATCACTTATTGATTGCATTCAAATTACATATGCGGCCTCGTCGCCAAACACCATGTTGAAAAGAGTTTTTGTCGCCTAAATGGGCCGAGTTCGACACCATAGGTCATAACAAAGAGCTAACGTATCATCGTGGTTATTTCTATAATGACAACGATTCAATTGCTCTACCCTCGGATTGAGCGACCCTAAAGCAACATCACTATCATCAACAGGTTTAGTTTAATTTAATGTCTTTCATATTAATGAATTATTATATTATCCTCTAACGACATGTTGATGCAGGATCAAAAGTAAGTATATTTATTGTCTTTCTATAATTATTATTCATATTTAAAGTAATTCTATCATCTAATTGTCCAAGTACTTAATCTATGTTACAACATTCGAGATTTGGCTTTATCGCCAGTGTACACAGACATCGTCTCTTTCTTCAACGGTTTTAGCACCCGAATCACCTATTTTGGCCTTGTAGCCAGTTCATTATTTGTTGACAATCTCCGACTAACGTCGTAACCATTATCACAACCAACGTTCAACACCGACAAAGTCCTTCCGACGTCGACGACATCAAATTTTGTCCGTCGACGATCAGCTTTCGTCTGTCGATGATATTAGCCTCCGTCCGTCGACGACATCGTCTTCCGTCCATCGACGACACCGCCTTCCGTCCGTCGACGACATCGGCTTCCGTCCGTCAACGACACCGCCTTCCATCCGTCGACGACCGCCTTCCGTCCGTTGACAACATCAACTTCCTCCCGTCGACGACCATCATTCATTCGTCGACGACATATGCTTCTGTCCGTCGACGACCATCTTTCGTCCGTCATCGACGACACTTGCTTCCAAAGTTGACACTAGCTTTCGACTCGACGAACAACGTCCAATTACATCATTGACATTGATATAGCAGCAACTTAAGCTACATATGAACAAATTATGAGCTCTAAAAAGACCCACGACGAAGGCATCAAGAGTCAAGACACAAAGGTAATGACACAAACATCAAAATGAAGACGAAGTCAAAATTAAAGTGAGCATAATTTTCCTAGTTGTTGCCGTACTCCAACTAAGAAAATGGGGGCTATTGTTATGGGACATTTTGTACAACTGTTGACCGACGTTGACATTCAAGACCAAGATATACAAGACCGAGTCAAGATGGTTATGGATGCTTCCTAAAGTCATGGAGAGAATATCTACCACTAAGAAGAAGTCAATTAAAGTTGTTGCACGTATGTGTACTCCAAACCGTCTACATTTATTGAAAGACCAAGTAAAGATTGAATAACCGCTATTTCCTATTTTCATGGAGGGCATCCTCATCCTTCTCCAACCGTCTATTGTCTACATACGGAAAGCTCTATAAATAGAGAACAAGTTCCTCCCATGAGGCATCATCCATTAGCCACTGACAAAAAAAAACCATTTTGATCCACCTCCTGCCAAACCTCCGAAAATACCCATGAACTCCTACGGTAATTTCATCTATTCTCCACATCATCATTCCACTACAAACACTCCTTCCTTGCTACTATATTTTAAGCCTTTGTATAATCTTGCAAGGATACATTTCTACCCATAATAATGCACCTAATCAATCTCCTTGTCGTACTGCGTTAGTCCTACACCTAATGTACATACATTTACTTGTACACTTTTATGTTATCAAATGTAAAATACACATTGTACTTGTAATTATTGGCTTTATGCCCGCATTATAGTGGATTGGTGGCCTCATTGCCACCCGCGGTTTTTACCCACCTTCATTGGGGTTTTCCGCGTCACCATATCATGTCTCCCCTCTCTTTCTTTATTTTTCCGTCATTTACTTTTCGCATCTAATGTTCCCTTATTTTAATTTAGTTGATCCGTAGCCCGTATCCCACATCAAATCCTACTTGACGAAATTTAGCATAAACAGCATTAACACAATCACTTATCGTTCTGTAAATATCTGCAGTGTTTGTAAATGGGCTATTCTGCAAGAATCCAATGGCAGTCACAGCAGACGATTTCTTCAAAAACGGCCTAGACAAACCTGGTAATACCGACAATATGCTTGGCTCAGCTGTCACTCCAGTGGCTGCAGCACAATTGCCAGGACTCAACACCCTTGGCATATCACTTGCTAGGCTCGACTTTGCACCATATGGCCTTGTTGCTCCCCACACACACCCCCGTGCCACTGAGGTTTTCACAGTGATGGAGGGTACCATTTATGTTGGTTTTGTTACCTCTAACCCAGCAGATAATAGTGCAAACAAGCTCTTTACCAAGGTTCTCAAAAAGGGAGACGTGTTTGTGTTCCCACAAGGTCTCGTTCACTTTCAGCTCAATGTTGGCAAAACTCCTGCGTTTTCCCTTTCTGCTTTGAGTAGCCAGAATCCAGGTGTGGTCACTGTTGGTAACGCTGTTTTTCGGTCTGAAGCACCTATCTCGGTTGATGTTCTTTCCAAGGCCTTTCAGCTTGATGCTAATGTCATCAAGCAAATCCAGAGTTTGCGATGAGCTCTTAATTTTCTTTTTTCTTTTTATAGTTGCTGATTAATAACACAGTTACACAGTTTTGATTTAATAAAAGAATCCTTTGTATTATACAAGTAAAGTAAAATATTTCTTTGTATTATCCAACATAAAAATATATAGTGAAAAATAATGTTATTAAAATGATTATTGAATTGTATCTATAATATGTCATAGGAAAGAATGAGTGATTGCCTTTTATGTTTTGGTACAACTTTCAACTTTGTGAACTTACATGTATTTTTTTCTGATAACATCCAATGTTTTCAACTCATTTCTATGAAACTTATTTAAATCAATGAAATAAGAAATCATAAGTTGTTTGTGTGATGTAAATCATGTAATAGATAAGGTTGACATCAGTGAAACAGAGGACTTTCCTGATAACAGATTATTTGAGAAACACCATTGCTTTTTGCTCCCTTAAAAAGTAGACTGAGATGGGAACTTTACCAGATCACTACTACACAAGTTGGACTAAATCATCGGCGTACACTCAATAATCTGCTGTTTCATGTACATTTTGTGTATTATACCTATACAAGACATTTTCAGTTACACTTGATGCATTCCAAAGAAGAAAATTATTCCTGTTTTAAACTAATGTTTTTGAAGCATTAGGTGCAAAAAACCAATCTCAATTAGCCTTAGTTTGAGGTCTAAGCTAAATCTTTAGATCAAATCAACTAAATTAGATCTCTCCAGCAATAATATTATTACATCCTTTCTACAGATGAATTAATATTACAGATTTTATCTTAATTAGGCCGATGTTTTCCATCAGCTCAATTAAACTATCAAAGTGATTGGCCTATTATTTTTGTCCCTGCTATGGAACCATCTGCCTGAGTAGCCTTGAGAATTCTCTGAGTATTTCCTCTAACATAATAGCCTTGCTTAATAACTTCCTATCAGAATGTGCACATTTCATCGGAATGGGACCTTTGTATGAGCACCAAATTTGTCAAGTCCAAGATGAAACACTCCTTTTTATTTGAGTCTTAGCTTTTGCCTCAACGCGAGCATCCAATCATAAACTGTGGCTGACTGACAGTTTAGTATGTTTCTGTCTTCCCAAATCCGTGTGTTTCAGCAAATTTAATTTCTTCCATTTTTATATGTATTAGTACAGGAGGTAGGGGATCACCAGTCACTACTAACACTATGATTTGAAGATGTATTTTTTATCATGAGCTGATGACAATATGACCATATAGTGTACAAAGTCATTTATGTGCTTAGCAATATTACTGAATATATCATACGGAGTATGTAACAACTAACAACATTATGCAGAGTTGAAGGCAGATAGTTCCTCAACCTTGCGTTCATGCATTGCTACATCACTACAATTTATGAGTTGGAATTTTATCAAGCCTTTGTACTTGTATACTCTCCCATTAGACCACAGTAATACGACTCGTAGCATAACATGAAATTTGTAGTACTCCGTCTGCACCAAGCTTAAGCCGTAAGAGGTAAAATTGGTCCAGTAAAATTATTAATGTATCCCCTGTTATAAATTATTGCAACGATTAGACTTTTTATGTCAAATCCGATATAGTACATGATTATTGATTACTAAACTCAAATCGCTGACTACAAAATCTACACAGTAAACTAGCAAGACCTGAGTGCAAGAATTTCCCGCCCTTTGTTCTATATATACCCAATTAAACTGAAGTCGTAATTACTATTCATTCCTCTATTTCCCAAACTCAAAATTGTACTCACCCAAATTCTCTCTCCTCAACCAAAATATGTCAAAAATAGAATTCCTCCGTCGTATGCTCCTCGGCTGCTTCACCGTGACAACCGCACCCACCACCTCCGCCACCACCGCCGCCGCCACTACCACCACCACCACCACCAAGAAACGACTGAGCACCTCTTTAAGAGACGACATTCTCTTCGACATTTACAAAACTCATGATTCTTTCGACGACGACGACGACAACGACAACAACATTGTGTTTTCCGAAATGGCAGCACCACCGCGGCCTTCGAAATCGATGGTAATCTGCACCTTCTTCGGGCAGCGAGGTGGGTCCCAGTCCCAGTCCCACGTCTGGTTTTGCGTGCAACTGAACCGTCTCTCTCCGAAACCATCTCTCCTTCTAGAACTTTCTCTCTCCACTCGAAGCCTGGTTCAAGAAATGCGAAGCGGGCTCCTTCGTATTGCTTTGGAGTGCAGCAGCTTGGAATTCAGCTCTTGCCCACTTCATCAAGTCCCTGTTTGGAGCGCTTTCTGCAACGGAAGACGGGTCGGGTTCGCGGCCCGACGAAAGCCCAATCAAGAAACCCGAGAAATGTTGAAGAAGATGGAGAGTATTACAGTGGGTGCTGGAGTAATTCAAGAATTCATGTATATGAGGGCCAATTATGAATGGGTTGTTGGAGGTGCCAATTCTCAGTCCTTTCATTTGATCAGCCCGGATGATGGCCCGGCTCAAGAGCTCAGTGTTTTCTTGCTCAGGTCTTCTTCTTCTTCTGTCTCATAATTCTATTAGGGGTATTTTCGGTACTAACTTTTTTTACTTGGCTCCGTTTTCTAGAGAGAAAGGTGCTTGAAAACTATGCGTTTTCTTGCGACTTAGACTTGTTACTTTATGGGGTCGTGAGTCGTGACTTCTTTCTTTAATTCTTTTAATTGTAACTTTTTTTTTTCTCTTATAATTCTTGTAAAAGATAGTCTAATTGATTGATGATGGGAATTAGAGTGTTTTGGTATGTTTGTATGTAAAAGATTGATTGGTAATAGGAAAAGAGATTGATGATGTATTGTAATAATTGAAAGCTCATACAATGCAGAAGATGCATGAAAGCACATTGTTGATTAAGTGAGGAAATCATTGCTTTTAGTATTCATCCAATGTTAAACTATATAGATTCCTACTTTCTTCATTTGTTTTTACTTGATATGTTTTATTTATGGTGAATTCGTGATTGTTATGGCACAATTTTTATCATCAATAACTTTAATTCTCCGTAGTTAAGACGATTTTATCAAGATTTCACGTAAATATGTTTTTATATATTATTTACAAAAGACGATTAAAGGAGGGTTAGTAAATAACGTAAAAGTAAAAATGAGTAAGTATGAATGAGCAGAGGATATATTTTAATTTTTATAGAGTACTTGTGGTGGCTTTTGATAGTGATAGGGTGATTTTACACGCGTTGGGCTGTAAGACCAGATAAGTAGGATGTAACATTAGGCCATTATGGTATAGCTATTATATACCCTTTTTTTTTCACACGCGTATGTTTCTCTAGTACGGAGTAATTTGTTTGACTTTTATAATATAAATACGTATATACTTATAAGTTTCTCTAGCATTAATTATTTTGTTTATTTTTGTATGAATTAAACTTTAATTACTTATAGTATTTATTATTGTAGAAAAATAATAGTAATAGCTCCTTTTGTACAAACAAAATTATAGAAACTATAAATTTTTTAAAGAAAACAAATTACATGTGGATCCGTGTGAAATTTTGGACTCGTGGATCCTGATGAATATCCTTAAAACAAGTATGGTCCGAATCTAGCAGGATCCGGTTTAGTTTCGTTCCGTTGCCACCCTTACTAATTCTTATCATGAGCCTAAGAAATTATGATCATGTAATGAAAAAGAACTTTGGTACATTGCTCATTAGTCATTTGATACGTGATGCTTAGAAGTATTACTGAATAAATCCAAAGCAACAGCATTGTGCAGGGTTGCATGCATATATTTCCTGCACCTTAAGTTTCTACACATTCCTCATGTAAGGCACCAACTATTGCAAAAAAACATATGAGAGTTCAATCAGTCCAAAGATATAGGTCTGACACCAGAATTTCTTGGTCTATACCTACTTGAATCTAAGTTGGACTCTACCAAGGGTTTAAAAAAAAGGATTAAAAAGGCTTGTTAAAAAACAAATTAGCTGAAAAAGTAGGGTAAAAACAAAAGAACTGGATAAGGGAATGAACCCCCTTTGTACCATGAGTTTTCATCCCCAAAATTTTTACAAAATCATGGCAGGAGATTTTTTACCCGTAGAAAATGGAGTGGGTCTTCACATTGCCGAGAAGATCAACATCACATGTGAGTGTGTGAGCTTCTCCCATGAGAATTTGAGGTACGAGCTTCAAGACATCGAAGAAAACTTCTTCACGCTCAAAAACATGATGATGGAGGCGAACGGGTTAGATGTTATGGGAAACAATTAATCAATTCTAACTAAACCCAGAAAGGCGTTTATAATCAATACCATTGAACATCAAGATGGTATTCTAAGCAATCAGGTAGATACCATCAAAACAATAGATGGTATTACAATGGTACCAATATTTGTCTAAAATTTTTAACACATAACATAAAATTACTCCAAATTAACGGAAATAACATGTTTATAATCAATACGATTGAACATCAGGATGGTATTCTAAGCAATCATGTAGATACCATCAAAACAGTTGATGGTATTGCAGTGATACCAATATTTGTCTTAATTTTTTAACAGATAACATAAAATTACTCCAATGGTACCAATACTAACTATACGCTACTTCGGAACCGCGACAATTTCACCGACCCAGAATTTCTGAACTCAAAGGCTTCGTCTCCTTGAATTCTTGGTCTCTCGTCTCTTCGCCCCTTTAATTTCTCTCTATTCAATTTCTCACTCTCCTCAGTAGAGTACTCAAATTGCTTTCTTTCTCCTCTAAAAGTGCACCTCTTTACAATTAACGCTAGCTTCTTTTTACACTTTATAATTCAAAATTTGTACTGAACACGTGGGGCCCACACCTCTGCGTTATTTTTATTAACAATAGGACAAATTTTATGTAAAATTTTAACCTTGGTAGAGTCCAACTTGGACTCAAGTAGGTAGAGACCAAGAAATTCTGGTCTGACACAAATTTCTACATTATTAAAGCACGCTGTTTAAAATGATATGAATTTGAAAGACGAATGTTAACATTAAATTACATTGTTGAAAGTATTCCCCATTTAGAGATATGACCAAAATAATTTTTATTCGGCTTAAGACCAAAATAATAACTAGGTTAACATGATAAGTCTAGTATGCATCAAGTTTATGAGGTAAAATGCGTGTAGCTAAGATACATCATCACTAAAGACAATTCGTTGACTATAAATTCTACAGTAATAATAATTTAAAATCCCTACTTTTGGCTAAGTCAGAGTTATATACCAAGTATTACTTGGTGAAAAAATATTAACATATTATCAAAAGAGGATTGAATATTAATCTGAGAAAGAGTCAATTTTTTTTTTTACCAATTCACGCCATCTTACACTGATTTCATAGCTTTATAACAGCAAATACTCCCAAGGATTGTTTGTGAGCACAGAAATTGGCAGGTTATACCAAGTCAGTACCTGCTTAAAAGAGTAATATAAGTTACTACATCAACTACCTTAAGACTTAGTTTTTTTTTTTTTTTTTTTTGAGGAAACCTCAAGGCTTAGTTAACATGACATGATAACTTTCTTGACAAATTTACGTGCTCTACAAAAATATGACCAATTCAACTCCAAAACAATCCATCAGTAAAACCTATAAAAAGGGTTACAATCCATCAGTAAAACCTATAAACAATCCCAAGCAAGAAACCATCACAACTTACAAGTGCTCAAACTCATACAAAAGAAATAAAAGTTCATTATATTACAGTAGAAACTAAACGATAAATCAGACATCAGAAACCATGGCAGCTTACAGATTCATTGCGTACTTAACACTGTTAGCTCTAACATCTAGTGTAGTCTTTGCCACCGATCCTACACAGCTCCAAGACTTTTGTGTTGCCACAAATGACCCTAAAAATGCATGTAAGGTTTAATTCTTGTTATAACTGCATGATATTTGCAATATTTGTAGACTAGTAGGAGTTTATTGTTTTTTCCTAAGCACTAACACTGGTTTATGTTCTGATATTTATTATCTGCAGTGTTTGTAAATGGGCTATTCTGCAAGAATCCAATGGCAGTTACAGCAGAAGATTTCTTCACCAATGGGCTTGACAAACCTGGTAACACTAACAATAAGCTAGGCTCAGCAGTTACTCCTGTGGCAGTAGCACAATTGCCAGGACTCAACACCCTTGGCATATCACTTGCTAGGCTCGACTTTGCTCCATATGGCCTTGTTGCTCCCCATACACACCCCCGTGCCACTGAGGTTTTCACAGTGATGGAGGGTACCATTTATGTTGGTTTTGTTACCTCTAACCCAGCGGATAATAGTGCAAACAAGCTCTTTACCAAGGTTCTCAAAAAGGGAGACGTCTTTGTTTTCCCACAAGGTCTCGTTCACTTTCAACTCAATGTTGGCAAAACTCCTGCTTTTGGCATTTCTGCCTTGAGTAGCCAGAATCCAGGTGTGGTCACTGTTGGTAACGCTGTTTTTGGGTCTGAAGCACCTATCTCGGTTGATGTTCTTTCAAAGGCCTTTCAGCTTGATGCTAATGTCATCAAGTACATTCAGTCCAAGTTCTAACTGCTTACTTCCTGACTGGGAACAGACAGAACTATTTAGTGCAGAGTGATCAATTATTGACTTCATTATGTTTGCAGATGTTTTTATTTTCTAATACCATTGTTTATTCGTTCAAATTTTACAAAAATAAATGAATAACATATTTATACAGTATTGAAAAAGTTTATTGAGCTGTTATGAATACACTATCTGTTTAATATATGCCATGGAAAAGAAAGCAATTAAATCATAAGTTTGCTCTGCCTTTCATCTTATGTTCCCTAAACTCGAGATTACCCAGGCAATTCAATTTTTACCTTAACTGCTTCTAGCATATCATAAAATATCCTGACCATCCCGAATATATTTTCAGAGACTTTCAGCTTTATAAGGATGATATATACAGCTCCCAAGTAAACTAAGGAAATGTTAAATGATAAACACAAGATGTATTTAGAGCTCTCTGACTTATATGACACATACTATTTCAAATAAGAACAATAAAACTACAGCTATAATCTTACAGACAGTTAAGTAGCACAACAAATTTCAAAAAAGTGAGGAACTTAAGGATAAATTTTTTTTTTTTTTTTTTTTTTTTTTTGTAAATATTATTTAATGGAAAAAATGGACATCAATAAAACCACAAACTTGTGGAATGCAACAAGTCATTGATAAGTACTAAAAATTGATGCACAATTTATTCACAACTTCATTGCTGAACAAACACTCTATATCATGAAATCAGAAATAATACAACAGATCACATGGTAACTTGGTGAGTGAGGTTAAATGTTCTTGAATGAACTCACAGTCACACTCACATATATTAAAACATACGAGGAACGATCACGGGAGGTTTTGTATAAATAAAGGATATGAAAGCTTCAAAGTCTTAATCCATGTTTCCAGAGAAGCATTTGAAGTTTTGAACTGTTAGAATCTGAAATGCTTCTGATAGAAAAAGGGGTGGATGAATATGAATCGACTCTGGTACTGCTAGCATAAGTTCAGTATCATTTTGCAGATAGCATGAGGAACGATATAAATATGACAAGAAATAAGGCCATCATAACTTAAAGTTTACTGGTTTTTGTTAGACTTCCCATGGCTCTTGCTTTCTCCCTGAGTATGTATTTTTGTGCCTTGCCAGTTATTGTGCGCTGCAGATCCTCAAAAACAACTGTCCGAGGAGCCATATAATGAGGCAAGCGATCTCTACAAAACTTAATTATATCTGCAGAGGTAACATCATTACACCCATCCTTCAGCTTTACAAACGCGCAGGGTGTCTCCCCCCAGTGATCATCAGGACGAGCAACAACAGCAACTTCTAGAACAGCAGGATGACTAGATATTACATCTTCTACCTCAATTGAGCTTATATTCTCTCCCCCAGATATTATTATGTCCTTTGCTCGGTCTTTAATCTGAATATAGCCATCAGGGTATTTGACAGCTAAGTCTCCGCTATGATACCATCCATTCTCAAAAGCCTCCTGAGTAGCCTTCTCATCGCTCAAGTACCCATTCATGATGGTGTTTCCTCTAAGCATAACCTCGCCCATTGTCTTTGCATCAGCAGGCACACTTTTCATAGTCATAGGATCTTTTACATCCACTTCCTCAAGCCCAAGATGGAGCACTCCTTGCCGCGCCTTAATCTTTGCCCTTTCATTCGGAGGCAAAGCATCCCACTCAGGCTTCCAAACACAAACTGTAGCAAGGCCGTAGGCTTCTGTCAACCCATATCCGTGTGTTACTGCAAACCCAATCTCCTCCATTTTGAAGAGTACTTGTGGGGCTGGTGGAGCACCACCTGTTATCGCTACCACCTTTCCTGGAAGAGGCTTCTTATCGCCATCAGGAGAATTTATGATCATGTTAAGAACTGTTGGTGCACCACCCATGTGAGTAACTTTAAACTCAACAATACTACTGAATATATCCTTTGCAACAACATTGCGCAGGCAGACGTTTACACCACCTTGAGCTGCTATACCCCATGTAAAGCACCAGCCATTGCAGTGAAACATAGGGACAGTCCACAAAAAGACAGGCCTCGTAAGCATTTCATTCACGAGAACTGTAGCCAAGGAGTTCAGATATGCACCTCTGTGGCTGTAAACAACGCCTTTAGGACTTGAAGTTGTCCCAGAAGTATAATTCAATGCAATTGGATCCCATTCATCTTTTGGCTTTCGGATCTCAAATTCAGGATCTCCAGCCTGTACAAGATTCTCGTAATCAATGGTTGTATTTTGAAGCATGTCAATTCCAACTGACATCAACTGTTCATCGAGAACTAAGACAATGTCAGGAAGGCTAGAGCCTGACTTGGACATGTTTTCCAATGCTCCGCGTACAGTATCCAAAAACTGATAATCTACAAAGATGAGTTTTGCCTTAGAATGTTTTAGCAAGACAGACAGCATTGCAGAATCATGACGGATATTCAAAGAGCAAAGGACTGCTCCGGCCATTGGAACAGCAAAGTGCAACTCATACATTGCTGGAGTGTTGGGGAGAAAAGCAGCAACCTAATGTAGAAAATGGACAGTCAGATGTACCTAAGCCGAAACAAACAAACAAAAACAAAAATAATAATAATGTATGTACAAGCACAGATTTTTTTTATTACACCATTTTCAACCTCCGTTAGTACTAAACAAAGCTAAAACATCGTGCAATGCATCATTTGCATGATAGAAAGCATGTACATCATAAACAAGAAGAAGGTTAGGCCTAACAGGACGTTTAGATGTGAAATATGTTTCACCAGCATTACCAATACACTCCCTTTAATTTGATCACCTGCTATATTTTCAACAATCAGCTAAACAACCATTTTCCTCTTCTTTAAATGGCTTCGAATTGCCTACATTACACAGGTATTGTTGATAAGTATATTAGGTGACTCGTACTTCGTAGCTTTGTCCGCCCGATCGGGCGGACATTGCCCGGTCTGACCGGGCGGAAGAAGAAGAGGTGCCTGGCAAATTCGTTGAAGAAGCTGCTCTCGCGCCCGACCGGGCGAGCCTTCGCCCGACCGGGCGAGCCTTCGCCCGACCGGGCGAGCCTTCGCCCGATCGGGCAGACCTTGCCCGGTCTGACCGGGCGGTGGGGGTTGGATACGTTGAAGCATTCGTATGGAGTTTTCTTCTCGCGCCCGATCGGGCAGACCTTGCCCGGTCTGACCGGGCGGAGAAGGAAAAATACGGAACGCGGATTTTGCGGTTTTAGGTTATCTTATTTTATTATCTTTTTGCCCAAGTATCTTTTAATTAGGGATTAATATAAAACCTCCCTAATATCAGTATTAGGGTTAAGAGAGACAGAGTGAGAGCCGTTCTTGAGAAATACAAGAATCATCTTTGTAATCTTTGCAGTTTATAGTGAAATCATTCGATCTCGGTGCCCGTGGACGTAGCTATCACATCGATAGTGAACCACGTAAATTCTTGGTGTTGTTCTTATTGTTTGCATTGAATTTCTTTATTGTTTTCTTGTTTGTTTTCGACCTTTGCTTCCGCTGTCGCACAACAATTGGTATCAAGAGCTCAGGTTCAATCCTTGGAGAGTTTCTTGAAGATAACAATGGCAGGAGATTCAACAATAAGAATTGAGAAGTTTACCGGGAAAAATAGTTTCGGGCTATGGCAAATTAAGATGAAGGCTCTGTTAAAACAACAGCAGATATGGCGTCCGTTGGCTCCAAAGAGTACTACTTCGGAGTCAGGAGACGGACCGACTGACTCGCAGTTAGAAGTTATGGAAGAGAAGGCACACTCTACCATATTACTTAGTCTTGATGATCAAATCATCACGGAGGTTGCTGATCAGGAAACGGCGGCTGGATTGTGGCTGAAGCTGGAGTCATTGTATATGACTAAGTCGTTGACCAACAAATTATTACTGAAACAGCGGTTGTTTAGCCTCCGGATGCAGTCAGGTACTTCCTTACGGGAACATCTAGAAAAACTTAACTCTATTTTGCTTGATTTACGTAATTTAGATGTTAAAATTGATGATGAGGATGCTGCGTTGATTTTACTTGTATCTCTACCGTCTAGCTTTGAGAATTTTGTAGAGTCTTTTGTTGTTGGTAAGGATTCTATAACCTTAGAAGAAGTGAAGGCAGCACTTCATACTAGGGAACTCAGAATGAAAGCTACGAGTGATAATGGGGATAATGGTAGTGGGTTATTTGTTAAGTCCGGAAAGTCTAAAAAGAATAAGGGGTTTAACAAGGGGAACAATGCTGGGTCGGGTGCTGGAAACGGCAAGGATGGATCTAGTAAAACTACTACTAAAACATGTTATTACTGTAAAGAACCGGGTCACTTTAGGAATAATTGTCCGGTGAGGAAAAACAAGTCCCAGGCTGCTGTAGTTGAAGAGAAACCGAATGAGAGCTATAATTCAGAGGAAGATTTAGCATTAGTCAGTTCTGCTAGGTCTGATGATTTATCTGATAACTGGGTTCTAGATTCGGGGTGTTCGTTCCATATGTGTCCACGTCGAGATTGGTTTGATACATATGAACCTCGCAATGGGGGTATGGTTATAGTCGGTAACAATGCTCCATGTAAGGTCACAGGTATTGGTTCCATGAGGTTGAGGACTGTTGATGGGCGGAGGTTAACTTTGACTAATGTACGGCATGTTCCTGCTTTAGGAAAGAATCTGATTTCATTGGGTACCCTGGATGAATTGGGGTACAATGGTGTGTTTTCAGATGGGGAGTTGTGTATTTTCAGAGGTTCTGAGTTGGTACTTAAGGGTATCAAAAGGAACACCCTCTATGTTTTTGAGGGTGTTACACTGCCTAGTTCTGCGGTTTGCGCATCTGTATCTCACCAGGAGATGACTAAGATTTGGCACATGAGGCTTGGTCATATGGGGGAGAAGGGGATGCAGCTATTGTCCAAGAGGGGTCTTCTATCCGGGGTCAAGGTTGCCAACCTTGAATTTTGTGAGCATTGTGTGTTTGGTAAGAAACACAGGTCAAAGTTCAGCAAGGGTGCTCACATTACTGATGCAGTGCTCGATTACATCCATTCAGATTGCTGGGGTCCATCTAGAGTTGAAGGTATGGGAGGTTACCACTATTTTGTGTCATTTGTTGATGACAAGTCCCGATACACATGGCTTAGGTTGCTTAAGTCAAAGGATGAGGCCTTCAAAGTTTTCAAGCAATGGAAAGCTTTGGTGGAAAATCGACAAGGAAGGAAGATCAAGAAGCTACGAACGGACAATGGGCTAGAGTTTTGCAAAGACGAGTTTAATCAGTTCTGTGCAGATGAGGGTATAGGTCGGCATCATACTGTCAGGAAGACACCACAGCAGAACGGTGTAGCAGAACGGGTTAATCAGACACTGCTAGAGAGAGTCCGATGCATGCTCTCTAATGCAGGGCTTGGGAGGAGGTACTGGAGTGAAGCTGTGTTAACAGCTTGTTATGTCATTAATAGGGGTCCTCATTCTGGAATTGATTCCAAGATTCCGTTTGAGATCTGGAGTGGTAAGTTGCCTAATTTTTCGAATTTGAAGATTTTTGGTTGTGTTGCTTATTATCATGTTATTGAGGGTAAGCTGGATCCACGAGCCAAGAAGGGGTGTTTTGTTGGGTACGGGGATGGTGTGAAGGGGTTTAGAATTTTTTCACCTTCGGAGGGTCGGGTCATTCTTAGTAGGGATGTTACTTTCGATGAAAACACCATGTATTCAATTAAAAATGCAGAGATTTCAGATTTGAGAAGGGAAGGAGACAATTTATTACAGACAGATGGGGTACTTGAGGTACATCAGTCTACCATTGCTGATTTACCTCGGGTACAATATATTGATGATGATGCTGATGTTCCAGTGCCGGGTACTCCTGAACCTGAGATTACTCCTACTCATTCTAACTCTGGGGATGAGGTGGAGCAATCTAATCAGGGGTCATCTAGTCAACCTGACACCATTCTTGAGATGCCTAAACGAGTTATCAAGAAGCCTGTTAGATTGATTGAAGAGATGGAGGGAAGAAATTGCTGTGTTGATGCGATGACAGGTTATGCATTGAGTGTAGCTGATGATGTAGAGTCATTTGAACCTGCCACATATAAACAAGCAATTAGTTGTAGTGAGTCTGCGCAATGGCTTGCCGCAATGGGTGAAGAGATGCAGTCCCTTTACAAGAACAGAGTGTGGGAACTGGTAAAGGTACCGGAAGGGAGGAAGCTTGTGGGTTGTAAATGGATTTACAAGAAGAAAGAAGGGTTGTCGGAAACTGAGCAAATACGTTTTAAGGCTAGGCTAGTTGCTAAGGGGTTCAGTCAGGTAGAAGGGGTTGACTTTGTTGAGATATTCTCACCTGTGGTTCGACATACTTCTATCCGTGTGTTATTGTCAATTGTAGCACATTTTGATCTTGAGCTGGAGCAGTTGGATGTTAAAACGGCCTTCCTTCATGGCGATTTGGAGGAGGAGATTCTGATGAAGCAGCCCGAAGGATTCGAAGCTCCTGGAAAGGAACACTATGCCTGCAGATTGCTAAAGTCATTGTATGGACTTAAGCAATCCCCCGACAGTGGTACAAAAGATTAAAGGAGATGCTTAACTCGGAGTTTGACATGAAAGACTTGGGTGCAGCTAGGAAGATTTTGGGTATGGAGATCTACAGGGATCGGGCTAGAGGTAAGCTTTTCTTGACTCAGAAAAGCTACATTGAAAAGATTCTGTCTCGTTTTGGGATGGAAAAATCGAAGCCTATAAGTACGCCAACTACTGTTAGTTGTAAGTTGTCTTTGTCTATGTCACCTCAATCAGAGGAGGAGTTGTCTTATATGTCTAGAGTTCCATATGCAAACGCGGTTGGTTGTTTGATGTATGCTATGGTCTGTACTAGGCCGGATATTGCGCATGCTGTTAGTGTTGTAAGCAGGTTTATGGCTCGACCTGGGAGGGAACACTGGCAAGGGGTGAAAAGGATTTTTCGCTACCTGAGAGGGACAGCTGATATTGGTCTTGTGTACGGGAATGGTAAGGAATGCTTGGTCACTGGGTACAGTGATTCTGATTATGCAGCTGATGTGGATACCAGGAGGTCTGTGACTGGTTATGTGTTCACTTTGGGTGGTTCTGTGGTTAGTTGGAAGTCTACATTGCAGTCATCAGTTACGTTGTCAACTACTGAAGCTGAGTATATGGCTCTAACTTCTGCAGCTAAGGAGTCTATTTGGCTCAAAGGCCTAGTAGGTGAACTGGGTATTGCACAGGATTTTGCTACAGTGTATTGTGATAGTCTAAGTGCGATTTGCTTAGCTAAAGATCAAGTACACCATGATCGGACGAAGCACATTGATGTCAGGTATCATTTCTTACGTACTGACAAGAGGATTAAGGTGAAGAAGATTGGGACTGCTGACAACCCGGCTGATTTCTTCACTAAGCCTGTTCCGTTTAGCAAGTTTAAACATTGCTTAGACTTGCTAAATATTGATTACTACGTGATGTAGTAGGCCCTGAGGGGCGAAGTTGGGGAGCTCCTGGTGTAGGTGTGTTGGCATTAAGGTGGAGCTTGCCCGGGGCTTGTGATGCAGGTGGAGCATTATGAGTTGTTATACTTGGAGACGAGTATGTGATGGGTCTTGGTTGAAGACTTATCGGGATGTATGGCTTATGCATGAGTCCTGCATCGGGTTTGGCTTGAGATGTTTTTTCACTATGTCTTGATGGGGTCGTTTGCTGACTACGAGTTCTCGTCAAGGTGGAGATTGTTGATAAGTATATTAGGTGACTCGTACTTCGTAGCTTTGTCCGCCCGATCGGGCGGACATTGCCCGGTCTGACCGGGCGGAAGAAGAAGAGGTGCCTGGCAAATTCGTTGAAGAAGCTGCTCTCGCGCCCGACCGGGCGAGCCTTCGCCCGACCGGGCGAGCCTTCGCCCGATCGGGCAGACCTTGCCCGGTCTGACCGGGCGGTGGGGGTTGGATACGTTGAAGCATTCGTATGGAGTTTTCTTCTCGCGCCCGATCGGGCAGACCTTGCCCGGTCTGACCGGGCGGAGAAGGAAAAATACGGAACGCGGATTTTGCGGTTTTAGGTTATCTTATTTTATTATCTTTTTGCCCAAGTATCTTTTAATTAGGGATTAATATAAAACCTCCCTAATATCAGTATTAGGGTTAAGAGAGACAGAGTGAGAGCCGTTCTTGAGAAATACAAGAATCATCTTTGTAATCTTTGCAGTTTATAGTGAAATCATTCGATCTCGGTGCCCGTGGACGTAGCTATCACATCGATAGTGAACCACGTAAATTCTTGGTGTTGTTCTTATTGTTTGCATTGAATTTCTTTATTGTTTTCTTGTTTGTTTTCGACCTTTGCTTCCGCTGTCGCACAACAGGTATGATGGTATATATCTAATGTAATGTTCGGACTTAGGGGAGTATGTCACAATTTTTGTTAAGTACCACCCAGAACTGATCCCCGAATCCAGATTAGCCCATGGGTAAATCGGGTGGAACACAAAAATAAAACAATTTTTGTCAAGTCAAAAGTCAAACTGTTTTGTAAAATTGACCACATATATACCAAAATCAATTGGAAATATGAGAATTAGTACGATGATGAAAATTCCTTCATTACTTGGAAGTATAGCCACAAAAACGGACATCATAAAACAGGATATCATTCGATACATTCCTTGTATTACCTCCATTTCATATTATTTGCAACGATTTGACATAAAGTAGAGAGAACAAATGTCTAATCGTTGCAAATAATATGAAACGGAGGTAGTATATCGAAGCAAATCGGAGGAAGTATGTACAAAGTGCACAAAATATACATGGATTTGATCAGCAAGGGTCCACACTTTAATACGAGTACTAGAAATCATGACAAAAATTGTCATATATAAACATACCATCCAATCATATTATATTTTCCGTTCCTAAATGGCTGAATACATGCAACTTATTGCAACACTTAAGTCTATACACCAATAATACATTAGTTTTGATCACAATATATGAAAATATTAAAATGTTATCATGTAATATGTTCATAAACTAGTCTTAATGTGTATATTTTCAAGTATCAATTTTCTTAAAAATTCTACTAATGCAAAAATTCCATAAGCATTAAGTGTGTCAATCAAAGTGTTACAAATATTTAAGAACATGTACAAACATAAAATTGAACGTGCGTGTTAAGTCAAATTCAATAAAAACTCATATTGAGAACCAAAGAACAACTTATCACCTAAAATTATGCGCAACGATAATTGAGCATAATCGAAAAAAATTAAGAACTTACAACATCGCCATAAGAGATAGACAATTGGGTGAGAGCAGAAGCAAGTTTAGTACACCTAATAAGAGTTTCTCTCCAAGTATACTTAACATTTCCATAAACAACAGAAGTTTGATCTCCATAAACAAGTGCTGATCTCTCCAAAAAGCTTATTGGAGAGAGTGGAACATAATTTGCTGAGCAACAATTAATCCCTCCATTAATGAGTTCTAAAGCTTTATTGTGAATTTAGTAAAGTTTTGACTTTATTTTTTTGGGTGGAAAGAAGAGACAAAAGAGATTCGTTAAATAGAGTTTAAACCGTTAATATATGGATTGTTTAATTAGAAGTCTACTTTAAGTTGTGTGTAATAATTCATGTTTTGGTCAATTTTAATTTGTAATGCAATAATTCATTTTAAAGTCAATTTTAAGTTGTAAACTTGTTATGCAATAATTCATGTTTAGTCAATTTCCTAAAAAAAAAATTCATGTCAATTTTAAGTTTGGCTAATCAATCACCGAACTATTTGTAATAAACAAGTTCGTTAAATAGTTTGGAATGACAGAGCGTACAATTGCAATGTTTGTAATGTACCCTTTTAGTTATTTGCAAATAAATCTTAATCATATCATTTATTAACTCTTCACAAATATTTCAAGGCTAACAAGTTTCAAGGTTATATCATTATATTATTTGTACATAATATCACAATACAACACAACCAGAATATATCCGAACAATCGATAAAATAACCATACTGTTAAACGACTTATTATCACATATATGTAGCCTAAGATAACCCAAACTGATTAACAAAATTTGATAGAAATGACCTATTATCACCTCACCGATTGATACAACACAAGCATAATACACCCGAACAATCAATAAAATAACCAAATTGTTAAATGAATATGATACACATGACTTATCTATATGCCTAAGATAACCCAAACGGATTAACAAAATTTGATAGAAACGACCTATTATCACCTCACCTATTGATGAATAAGGAGGGAATGATCAACATTATAGAAGATTCAATTTGAAAATCACCGAATTTAGTTGTTCCAAGACTAGATAAAAATTTTATGATGTCCACCATTGATGGACTACAACAACATACAAGCAAAACATCTACCATTATAATGTCCCATGACTCCATGAGTAGAGCTTATCCATCAACAACTTTGACATAGCAATTCTACCACCCATAGAAATGAATATGACATATCAATAAATCTTTCCTCAATTATGTCTAAAATCTATATTCCTTTCTCCTCCCTTACTTCCTCCTAGCTCTTGTACTAGGAGCCTTCCTCGCCGTCTCATCGACATTCATCGGTGCCACCGGAAGTGGAGGCTTCCTGGCGGTGCTCCTCAAAGCATACCTCGGGTGCTCGCTACGATCCACAGAAGAGTAAGTAGCCGCTGCCATCATTGTCTTTTTAAGACTATCTGTTTTCTTCCTAGTATCCTTCTTCTTAGTAGTGGAATCAAGCTTAACACCTAAATTATAAGCAGATTTAGGCTCATCATCCCCTGTTTCACTCTGTTTCTTTCTTAGCCTTTCATTCCTTCTTTCTGAATAAGCATTGTAAAATCGACCCCTCTCAAACTGATTAGTACCTCCAATTGATGAATGACTGCCAAATTCAGTATTTTTCGCGTTGATTGCGCCGAGCTCATCTTGAACCATCTTTGCTAGTGCCCTCAATTCACAAGAAACTGTGTTGTTTTCTGGCATATTTTCTGATCCTTTCATCTGGGGTTTGTTCATCATAGCTGCAATTACAGATAATTTACAAAATAAACCCATTTTAAAGCATATATAATACATGTTCTGTTCAAAACCAGAGTATATAAATATAATAATCACACACAAACAATTAGAGCCCTGAAAAACATACCTTATCATAAATTGTATCGGTTCATTTCTGATTAACAATAAATTAATCCATTTTCTTTTTAATTACAAAGTTTTTGAATATAATCAGAACCCAGAAAAACAATCAAAAAATTATGTAGGTTCATTTCTGATTAAAAATTACAGAAAAACAAAAACAATTATCAAGAACACCCAAAATTAAGAAAAAAACCATCAGAGTTTCTTGGATCCATTTCCAGTCAGTTTTAATTTTGACAAACACAACCTTATAGTCTAAGTGTCTAACTTAACGCGTTGATTGGTGTTATTATTTAATGATTAAGAATGAATAAACAAACGGGTATCATCAATTTATTTGAACTAAATTACATTTCATCAATTATACAAGTATATTTCATTAACCCACCAAAAAAAAAGAAATAAAAACAAAAAATAAAAACTTTGAATTAAAAATTACCTGGTGTTCGAAGAGGGGTGTTGGCGATGATATTGGAATTGGGTGGTTGAAGAGGACGACGGCCGCGAAGCGTCATCGGAGATCTTGCAAGCGGTGGTTTCCGATCAGATTTCATCCTGAAACAACAAAACATACAGAGAAAAACAAGAGCAAGAAAATGGGCATTAATAATAAAATATAATTCCAAGTTTTGTGATTGAGAAATAATAATGGAAAATAAAGTAATAAAAGTATGAAAGATTGAATTTTTAATTGATTTTGACCTTGAGAAATTGGAAGAACTTGGTCTAACAAGTTTTACTGATTCTGAATTAGGGTTCTAGTTTTGGGGTTTTTGGTTTGAGAATTGTGGATGTTTTGTTCGTAGAATTATTATTGTAATGGAATTACAGTGACAACGGGCGGCTGTTTGAATTTTTAAAGGTGAAGGAGCGTGTAACGGTCAAATCAATCCGACGGCCTTGGATTATTTCAAGTGTTTTTGGACGGATGGATTATCACCTTCCATGTTTAGGAAAGATATTTAAAAAGAAAAGAGAAAAATAAAATAAAATAAAATAAAAAATGCTGCTAGTCCACCAAATACTAATTAAAACAATAAAAAAAAAGAGACAAAGGCCAAATTTAAGGGGCTTGTCCCAGTTTATCTCTCAGATAAACAAGGGATGTTAATTCCATGACATAATAGTAAATAAATTGAAAGTAAACAAAAACGAAATTGTTATTTTTTTTTATTCTACCTCATCTTCTCCGTCAAACCCGAGTACCGTCATTACCCAATACCTATTACACCCGAGTACCACCACCATTTTCTCCGTCACGACTCACGAGTACCACCACAGCACTACAACTACAACCTTCAGTTCAACGCCATCCCATCGGAGCTGGTTTTGATTAACAATCCACTCCTAGCCGCCGCCGATTAAACGAAAACCCTAATTGTAAAGGGAGAAAAGAAGGGCAAGGTTAACCCTTACGGGGAAGGGTTAGGTCGTCCTCCAATGAAGCCCCTTGAAGCTCTTCCATTTTTCCATTGAAGTTCTGCCATTAATGGGGAAGGGGCAGTGAACCAGATTTTTTTTATTTTTTTTTTCAGATCTATTAATGGTGAAGGTACAATTCAATTTGACTTGTTAGCTTAAATTACAGAAATACCCATGTTTTTTTGTGGGAAATGACAATAATAGGGTTGGATAAACTTCTCAAGTTTATCTAGGAGATAAATATGAATTCTCTCAAATTTAAGGCAATATTAATACTTTGTAGTTTATTTGACTCATAGTGATCTAGTAATATGTAAATTGATCTTAGTTTATTCGTAAATTTCACCAATTGCCCCTAAGATACTTTTTTATTCACCAAATACCCATCAAAACTTTTAAATTCACCAAATATTCCTGAGTTTAAGGAAAATGTCACCAAATGCCCTTAATGACTAACGGCGGTTGACACCATTAGTCATTAATGACTAATATGCCACGTGGCAGCCTCTAATTGGTTTTTGTAATATTAGTTAATTAATTATTTAAAAAAAACTTTAAATAATTAAAAAAAAAACCCACCACCCAAGACCCACCCCGCCCCACCACTGCCACCACGCCAGATCCCACTCCTCCCCCTGAGCCGATGGTCCCAATCCGCCGGCGAGGCAAGCCGCCCCACCCTCGACACCCCTCCCCTACCCCCAGCCCCCTATCCCTCCGTTTCCCCTCCCCTTAAACCCCTCCTCATCCCTCGAAACCACCCCCCTCCTTCGCGGTCGGCGTCGAAACCCCCTCCCCGGCGCCGGCGAACCTTTTTCGCCCCACCCCCCGCCATCCCCACCCCATTTCCACCCTAAACCACCACCCAAAAAAACCGAAAAACCCCTTAATCGAAAAAACCCCAAATCGAAATCTAGGGTTTCGATTTGGGGTTTTTCGATTTTTGGGGTTTTAGGGTGTCGACGATGGTGGTTTAAGGGGGGGGGGGGGGGAAGTAGGTGGAGGTGGTAGGGGGATGGGGGGAATTAGCGTCGCAGGCGCAGGGGGATGGGGGCTGGACGCCAGTGGGAGGGGAGAGAGGTGTTTTTCGAGTGTGGAGGGAGGGGTTTAGGGTGGGGGGAACGTTATTCTGGGCAAGAGAGGGGTGGTGGCGGCATTGGATAAGGGGAGGGAGGGTGGTCGGCGGCGCAAAAGAGGACATTGGTCGCCGGTAAGGTGCAGGCAAGGGGTTGGGCTGTCGTGGGGGGTGGTGATGTGGTGGGGAGATTGGCTGGGGGTTTGGTTTAATTTTTTTTATTTTTTTTAATTTTTTTTAATTTTTTAAAGTTTATTTTAATGATTAATTAACTAATATTACAAAAACCAATTAGAGACTGCCATGTGGCATATTAGTCATTAATGACTAACGGCGGTTCCGTTAGTCATTAAGGACATATGGTGACATTTTTCTTAAACTCAAGGAGTATTTGGTGAATTTAAAAGTTTTGATGGGTATCAAATCAGTGAATAACTTGAAATCAGATCAAGTAATCATTTGTTCATATCATATATTCCATAACTCTGTTCACAATTATATAGGTCCAATAGTACATTCGTAACACTTGGATTGTTCAAATTATGAAATGCTTGATCGAAGTTCAAGGATGACCCAATTTAAAGATTATTCGATCTAAAATTAATCCTACACAAATTTGACCCAAACTTAAGTTTACTAGCTAGAAACCCATCTCAAACTTGGCTCGATACAACCCAAACTTGTAATCAAACCTAACTTTAATTTGAGTCTAATCAAAGTCAACATGCACCCACAATGATAATTTACCTAACATAACATGACCCAACTTTAACTTGACCCGTAAACCCAAGCTAGAGGCTAGATTCACTAAACAGACTTATTCAAGTTTGAATCACAACCTAATTTGATCTGTTCCCAACCTGACCTAAATATTCGAGTGAACAGCTTAAATTGGAACTTGCAAGCCTCTTGACTCTTTGGCATAACTCCTTGCTGAAATTTTACATTCACAATAACATACATTGGTAACAAAACTCTTCATTTGATTTATTCAATCTCTCCCATGATTACATGATGAAACTGCAATTACATAACCATGTAAGCAATCTAGCTACTTATTTACGCTAAGAGGTAACCACGAACAAAAGGAAAGTGCATGGATGACAGAAGAGGTACACTGATTTTGAAGTCACTTGCTGTGGAGGGATTACAATCTGAGTCACCGGGCCGTCCACTAACCATGATCTTGTCTGTTGATGGAATCTCCTCTACGCTTGGAGCAGCATTTTTTTCCATGGGAGCTGGTTTTTTTAGTACAGGGCTAACATCCTCGGCTCCATCAGCCTCTTCTTCTAGACTATCAGCAACAACGGTAGTGGTTGCGACAGTCTCATCTGGATAATCTTCTACTCTGTAATATGCCTACGGAACAAAGAGATATATAGTTAAAAAATGGTTGTACTTAAAGGAGTGAACATATTCTTTGTAACCAGGGCAAGGAAAACAACATAACCGGCTTGACAGTTGCACTTGCACCATTGACGTGGTGCATTGATTATCTTACAACCACTCAACAATTAGAAAACTAAATATCTCATTATCAATTCTCAAAATCACACCCACCCAATCATTAAGGCATCATGAGATTGTTGCACGGCTAATTAATGTAGCAAGAACTTGATTGTGCAACACAACCATTTATTTGGCAAAGATATGACTAGCTCTTGATGTGTGTAGAATTCATAGGTTAGTGGAATAACAAGGCAAGAGTCACTAGTGGCATTTGTGTCGTGTGCACAACTCTGTTCACCCCATTCTTCTCCTCCCCCAACAGGAACTTCAAAATATTGAGTGGGTTGGGGATTATCAGCTGGGAAACCAACAAGAAGCAAAAAGATCATCATTCCCATTGGCAGCCCTCAACTTCTCTCCTTTCTGTTCTATTTAACCAAAAGATACTCAAGTTTGGTTCATTAATGAATCAGTTATTATTAGGCAGATAAAACTGAGAGAGAAATGTGAAATAATCTGAATTTATGGCCAAAAAGAAAAAGAAAAAAAAAATGCATTAATCAAAACCAAGACCACCACATAATCACATCTCTTGATTCTGACCAGCTAATAAGACTAGAGGAATTACCACAGCTGCTTTGAAAACATTGCAATCAAGCAAAATCATATGAAGTAGATGTCTGATGGGATAAAGTTTATTGTAAGCTAGCAAATGAACCATGTTTCTTTTCAATACAATGAAGCGAGAGAGTAAATAATGTAGATGTATACCACACATGTACGAGCTGGTGATAGGACTTTAAAGGAATTAGGACGGTTGTTAAAATTTGTATCAGGAACTCCTGGTATTCCTTCAGGATTTGTGAAATGATCAACGTCATGACCCACCTACATATAAAAAAAAAATATTGCACACAATTGCTCAGTTATGGTCAAGCAAGGGTTGAAATTGTATAAAGTTGTATGAAATTTTGTTTGAGAAGCCAATACAATATGGTGAACAACCAGCTACATCTTTAGGCCTTACCCTTCCTCTTCCACCGAAGTCCAAAGCATCACTATCAAGTGCAACACGATACTTTCCAGGCAGATCACACCCAATTTTGTAACTGCAAATGAAAATCACACATAAAATAATTCTAGAAAGGCAAATTCGTGGGAAAATCAATCATCAGCAAAGTAATAAATAATTTATTCCTAAAATGATAAGGATTAAAATTCTCACAGCATAAAGATCACAAGAGAATTTGTTTACCCTTCGTATGTATTCTCTGGATGGAAGTTGAAGACAAAGACCAAATCGCCTCTCTCAAACACAATAACCTGTAAAATTTTGAATATATATGTCATGCGTTACAGGAATTGGGAGAGAATAACTTGTCATCGTTATTATGAGAACTGCATAAACATCAACTAAAAAGCTGCAAGTATGAGAAACAACACTTAATGTTTGCTTCAAGTACCCATACCTTGTCTTCTTCATTTGTACTGCTGACAATTTGTTTTGATGAAGAAAGAAATGAAAACTTCTCATCCAACAAATTCATGGCACGATTGAATGCATTCAGGAACTGAACAGAAGAAACCAAAAACTCTGATCAAGACCCCTTTTATAAAATTAAGATTCGATATTAGTGACAATCAGAATCTCAGAAAGTACATGACCAGCCAGCTCTCGTTTCTTATGTCTATAGCACTCAAGAACTCTGTTTGAGGCTTGACTGCTTCAAAGTGGTAAAATGTATATTTTGTTTCGGCAGGTGTGTGTTTTAATACCTTGTATCTCAGGTGATCTGTGTCAAGCAGATTCCACTGACGTTTGCACATATCATAACTCCAACCATTTCCTTCTCTGGGGAAGTCGATCCATTCAGGATGGCCAAACTGATAATCAATAGAGGATGCATTACAGCCAAAGAAGAAAAACATAAATTATACAAAAACATTATGTTCTGTTTAAGCTGTATATTGATACATTACTCTGAACTCAATCTTAAACAGGTTTTCCATGCAGTGTAAAAGGTATGAACTTTTATCGCTCTAGACACCCCAACACTGTCATTAAAAAGAATGGAATCCCCAAGAACTAACAGTCTAACAAGATCTCAACCTCAAACGCTTACCTCGTTACCCATGAAGTTAAGGTAACCTTCCCCTCCAAGGGCCATTGTAATAAAATGTATCATCTGCAGAACAGTTAAATGATTTTCAGAGAAATATCTAGAATCTTCTAGCCTTCAAGGTAAGCAATTTAAGGAAAATATACCCATAAGTAATTGAGTTTATATAGGAAAATATACCCTTAATCAATTGAGATTATATAGAAAAAAAAGTGACAAAGAACCAAACCTTATGAAGTGCAATCCCTCTCTCAACTATGGGTGAAGCTTCAGTCAAGCAGGACATTCCAGTATACATTTCTTGGTCCATTAGCAAAAATGCCATTGTTTTGTCTCCAACTATTCCCTGCAGAAAATGAAATTACAATCATGAGACATATATAAATATATAAGTAAAGGATATAAAGGAAAACAACAGAGAAATAAATAAATTGATTTTACAAGAAATACGAACATGTGCTCTATTCGTATTCAGTGGTTCAAAAGTGAAAAGAAGTGCTATATGTAACTCTTGAATTATGAAGTGAAGTAAAGATTGTTTTCAAGACAATAGTATTTGAACTGAATAAACTGCAAAGAAGCAGCCACTTCAGAGAAAGGAAGAACTTGGACCTGATCATGACTTTCAGCATAAGCTACACACTTCTCAGTGTATCTTCTATTAGTCAAGCTTAACATGATTTCATTCATGGACCATTCTTCATCCTTCTTATTTTTCAGATAGTCAATCCACTTGTCAGGGATAGCCATTGCTAGGCGATAGTTAAACCCAACTCCCCCTTCAGAAACGGGGCGGCATAATCCAGGCATACCAGAAACATCTTCTGCGATAACTGTAGCATCAGGAAAAATGTTGTAAATCAAACGATTAGCCAGCATCAGATAAACCACAGCGTCAACATCTGTTGCCTCACTGAAATACTCATTATAATTCCCAGAGAAACCCATGTTAATTCCATGATGATGATATAGCATGGAGGTTACTCCATCGAAACGAAATCCATCAAATCTATACTCTTCAAGCCACCACCTTGCGTTTGATAAAAGGAATCGAAGAACTTCCCAGTTTGCATAATTGAACAACCTGCTATCCCATAGCTTATGATAACCACGGTCTCCAGTATGAAAGTATGATTCCTGTGAGCTTTGTCCAACATCGAAACCATTCAAACCGTCGGTAACATTGTTGCTGGCATGGCTGTGAACAACATCCATCAATACTCGCAAACCTAAGCTGTGAGCCTTGTCAATCAGATACTTAAGGTCCTCAGGGTTTCCAGATCTACTGCTCACGGCAAAGAAGTTTGTCACATGATATCCAAATGAAGCATAGTACGAATGCTCCATGACGGCCATCAACTGCACTGTATTATAATTGTTTGCCTTAATGCGAGGCAAAACATCATCTGCAAATTCCCTATATGAATTTACACGTGGCTCTGAGCTACTCATTCCAACATGGGCCTCATATATTCGAGGAGCTTTTGGTTTTGGAGGACGAGGATGCTGAAATTGGTAGCTAGCATTATGAAAAGTAAACTGAGTTAGCAAAATCTCACTCCATTATATATAATGCAGTTTTATGTCGATTTAACCAGTACCTTTCTTCAGGAGGAGGCTCCCAGTATACCCCATCATATGGTGCTGCAAATCGCGAGGGATCCACCGTGGCATATTTGATCCATGCCGGAATTCGGTCAACCCAAATTCCATTTCCATGCTTAAACCGAAACTTAACCCTTGAATTGTGAGGTATAATGGATTTTCCACCTACATCTGGTATTCTAATGCTCCAAACACCAAACTGGTTCTTTTCCATCTTGTAGTTGGAACCATCCCACCCATTGAAGTCCCCGATAAGTTGAGCCTCCCTAGATCAATGAAAAAAGTTACGATATTTTAGAGATTTAGAAAACCAGAAATCTCAGCTTAAACAAATTAAAGTCCTTTAGACCTGTAACAAACTTACTGAGCAGCAGGAGCCCATTCACGATACACAATGCTCCCTTCTTCACGATTGAAACCAAATTTCAAGTATCCTATACAATACACATAAACAATATGAATGTATAACTAATATTCCTACATGCCAAGCTACATGGTGACAAATGGTGGCAGCATAGACAGGCTATAGGCATGAACCAAATATTCTTCACTTAATACAGCATAGAGACATAATTTACGGTTGATGCATTACTGGATACTTCAACCTAATTAAAAGATTAGTGTTTAATCGATAAAGATTTTAGCGGGATGTCAGTGCAGATAAGAATATCACCTTGAGAAAATTGCTCAAGACCGCCTTCGTAATTTTCAATGAGCTGATTTTGATCCACGTACCTCTTCACTCTGTATTCAAAATGATCTTTGTAGGGTTCCAAGGAAGGATCCACATCCAGGATTCCCAGATTCTCTGTCTCTACTTCAGCATTTTCCATTGCTTGACTGCTTTCAGTCGCACTGGCTGAGATTGCAGGACAACACTTCATCTATCAAAGAAAATGGGCATTTTTAAGCTACTGCATCTAGGATTCTAGACAAATTTCCAGTACTGTGAGGGTTTACAGGAAATATTGTACATCAATAAAAACAATTAAATTTTCAGCAATACTCAGTTATTGCAAGATGTTGATGAGCTCTTCAACATTGGAGATTAAAATCTGATGAAAATTATTTCATAACCTCTTCAACCACCGAATATACAGATGATTACTTTAAGCATCATAAATACTCATGGGATCCAAAAAGTTGCATTTTAGTAATGAAAACATACTCGATGCACTATGTCAACTTTTGACTTAGGATGCAAGGTATTGCGCCTGAACAGATTTTTTGAACTGCAGTTCAATGCTGATGTCTGTGCCAAAATTAATTCTTTGCTTGTTGAGCCCTGTAAAATAGCTAGCAGTTTTTAGTGAAACAACCAACAACAAGATCCTAGTATTTGCATGCAAAATATGAATTGACTTTATAAGAAAATAAGAAAGACCACATCAAAAAGAATCTCCGTTATACACCTTGACAGCATGATATCAAGTTAAAAGTAAGGCTATCAGTGCAAGAACATTAAGTACTTAGTCACCAAAATCAAAAGATACAAAATGAAAGGAGAGGCACAAAATAAAATTAGTGTAAAAAACAGATAAAATGACAGACAGAGGGATGTTAGGAAACTCAGTATACTCTTTACTTCTTGCTGCTAATTTTAAATGATAATGAGAGTGATGGGAAAGAACAATATTTAATGTTTAGCAATTTGACAAAGCCCTTCCGAAATTATCTCCCTTTCTAATTCAGTCTTATACTTCCTTACACAAAAAGCCAGATCATTATCTTTGCACGATGAGCTATAGTGCATGGCAAAATGGCAAATAGCTCAATTCAACATCTTCAAGCTGATTACTAGTTTACACATTCAGCCATACTCGTTTAATTCTTTCTTAGTTAGCTTTGTGCAACCCAGCTGCAATACAAAACTTATAAGCTTAAAAACGCCATAACTAATTTATTTATTTATTTTTAAAAAAAAAAAAAGCAAATCATGTCATGCACTAACACACAATACCATCTAAACAGCCACTCATTATGTCAATATACCGACACAATTGTGAACAAGTAATTGTTATCATCCACCAGTCTTACTTGCACCACAAAGGATAGTCAGAAAACTCAGAACACACCCATTTAAAAGGAATTATACTTGCCTTAAGCTCAAAGACAGCAATATTTGTAAAACTGCTTAAGTTGTCATTAAAATTTAGTTAACTTTTATAGCTGGTGCAAAAAACAAATGATGTTAGTAAAATTGTAAACTGTCATTTAATTCATCACATAGGCCAATCATCAACGACCGACATTCGAAGGCCTTACAAGTCTTCCAAAATCAAGTTTTGCAAGGGAAACAAGTCATTTATACAATTCCTTTTCCAATTACATACAATAATAAAACAAACAAAGAATGCAAAACAATTCATAGCCAATTTGATTAAAACCCTTTTTCAAAGAAATTTGTGAGTGCTACTCAGATTTATAGCCATAGCATTCAACATATCAGCATTTTCAAGCATTTATGCAGACCTCAAATTCATGCAATATCTAACCATCATATTCCCCCAAAATAAATGATTTCCCACTGAAATTCCTTCAATAATTCAACAAAACTTCTCAATTTTCTCCTAAAAACCAAAATAGAATGTCTAATTCAATGAAATAAACAATCTTTCAGGTATTCAAAACTCACCCATTTGAAATTGTTGGCAGAAATTAAAGAATCATTCAACAATTTGTCATTTTTCATCAAAATTCAACAATAATTGCCAATTTATAAAAATTAACAAAAAAAAAAGTTTTAAAGGGCATTAAATTACCCTATTGGCTGAAATTAGAAATGACCCAACTGAATTTGTTGCTTGAACACCCACTGCAACATTCATCTTCGTCTTCTCCACTCAAAATATATGCTATATCATTTACTTACATGCCATTTTCTGCAAAATATTTGATCATACAAAATAGTAAAATTATATAATTATGTAGAGCAATTATAAGTATTATATATATAAATCATATCAATGAGAATTAAACAACAGAGATTACTGTAATCAGTGTTTAATTAACTTACTAAGACAGTGACTGTATTTGGGTTGTAAACGTGGAAATTCTTGACAAAAAAATCGCTTTTTTTCTTAAAAAAAGTGTAAAGATTTCTTGTGACGAGGTTATAGGATCATTCCACCTGACTCACGATTCACTTCACTAGTGTGTAGTGAGTGAGTGCCGTCTACGTATTCCCGCTTTAATTGATTTGTTGATTTTGTCGATATTTTTAATATTTTTTCGAAAATTAAGGAACATACACAAGGCTAGCCTTCAATCAAGGCTAATATTAGGACTTGTTCTTATTTGTTCCTTTTATATAGTGCATATTTTCATGGTTTAATCTTAAAATGTAGGTTTGATTATCAATTTTTAATTAACTATTAATTTAAATTATATTAAAGTTACTATAGATTTTTAATGTGATATTATTAAACTCAAGAGCTATGGAGTATTATAAATGCTTTTTATGGGCCAAATTTATAAAGGGTTTGTTTATGCTTCTCTCCGTCCTATTCAATTTAGAATTTTTATTAAATGATTCAAGATTAAATAAGTTCTAATAAATTAAGTTTGAAAACTCAACTGTCAAAAAAAAAAAAAAAAAAAGTTTGAAAACAAAGTGATGCTACAGTGAAATGTTTAAACACACACCCACATTCTTTACTTTTGTTAAGTCTTTTGAGGATGCTACTTTACTTTTGTTAATTCTGTTGAGGAAATATATAAGAGGAAATATTGATGATGAGGATGCTACTTTACTTTCGTTAAGTTTGCTGAGGAGAAGGAGTACATGTCTCGGGTTCCCTACTGCTAGTGAAGTAGGGAGTGTGATGTATGATATGGTTTGGACTAAGCCGAATCTTGCATATGCAATCAGAGTTGTTAGTAGGCTCATGGTTAATCCTGGTAAGGAGCATTGACATGCACTTAAGAGGATTTTTTGTTACACAAGAGGTAGTCGGCACGTCTAATGTTGGTCTCATTTATAGTAATGGTGAAGCATGTTTAGTTACAGGTTATTCAATTCTAATTATGCTAGTGATGTTGATGGTAGAAGGTCTATGATTGGTTATGTGTTCACTCTTGGTGGTTATGTTGTTAGTTGAAAAGCTACTCTGCAACCTATGGTGAATTTTTCTACTACTAAAGCAAAGTATATGGTCTTGACAGAAGCGACCAATTAAGGAGGGAATATGGTTGAAGGGACTAATGAGTGATCTAAGTCTACATCATGATCAAGCTAGCAATAGTATATTTCGACAGTTTGACTGCAATATGTTTGGCTAAGGATCAAGTGCATCATGAGAACTAAACACATTGATGTCAGGTATCATTTTCTACGAAGTGAGACGAGAATTAAGGTGAAGAAGGTAGGTACTGCTGATAATCCTGCAGATATGTTCACCAAACCGATTCCGTAGAGTAAGTTCCAACATTGCTTGGACTTGCTCGATGTTCGAGGTTGTTAGTAGCCCTTAGGGCTAATCTAGAGCTCTACGAAGCTAATCTGGTGTCCTACGGGGCAAATCTAGTAAATTTGGTCCGGTTATCTTTCGAAACAAATCTGATTGCATGATCAATGCATTTGGTTATCTGTAATTTGTGAGAAGGATTCAAGTCAAGATGGAGATTTGTAAGAAATAGCGCCTTGAATCGGGAGCTAGGAAATTCGGAAGTTAGGAAGCTTGTGTCGCAAAGTTAGGAAGTTACACCAAGACAAGGCCATGTCTTAGGTCGACATGGGTGTGCCTCGACGGAGAAGATGAGCACTTGCTCTGACACACCCATGTCAAATTCTGACACGCCTGTGTCGTTTTGTTTTCAAGCTATTGCTTTGCTTCAGATCCAAGGCACACCCATGCCCTGTGTGACAAGCCCATGCCTGGCGGGTTTTGGCTAGGGGTGTTCATATTCGGGTACTCAGGTCTTTGGGTACCCGAATCTTCGAGTAGTTTGAACTTCGGCCCATGTCCCGACCCGAGAAGATCAGGTATCCGGGTTTCGGGTACCCAAGTTTTTCGGGTCAGGGCATCGGGTAGCTAGGTATAATAACTTACTTTTTGTTTTGTAAAGAGTATTAAAAAAAATCAAAATTATTGAATTAAATTTTCCACTACAAACAATAATTATTAAATACTCGTATCATACACTACCAAAAAAATAAATAAATAAAAACCTATCAACCTAAGCTATAATCCAAAAATCTAGAAAAAAAATAAAATTAAAATAAAGCATGTTTATAATATTTAACAATTTAAAGCAGGGAAAACGCCATTAGTTTTTATTAGCGTAGATCCGTCCGTGGAGTGTCTCCCTAAGATGGAGTCGTTAGTTTTTGTTAGTTTAGTTGTTTGTTTATGTTTAGGGTTTGTTTGTGTGTTAGGGTTTATGAAAAAGGTAATCATATTTTGCCCTATTGTCAGTTCTTTGGTAAAGATTTGTTCGGGATCGCAACGGTTGTCAAGTTTTTAAATGCGTTCAAGCGAATCAGATGAAAATCATCCTTACGACTACAACAAATCATTAGATTGTCTCTCCGAAAAGGTTGTATATTTCAGCGATGTGTGCGAGAGATGTACCACAGTGCATGATTTTTTCAACAATCGTAGCCTTGATGAAGGAAACCCTAATTTGATTCAATTTTATGTATCTGTTAATGTAGATTTCATTTGTAGGTGTCATGTGGATTTTTATTAATGAATTGATTTATTTCAAAAAATTAAAAAAATAAAATAAAAAACACCATTAGCAACTACAATTGAATAACAAATTTCAAATCTAATTTGAACTAGCACCTTATCAACGCTGCTTCCCTGTCCATCGCGTCTGCTTACCGTGGAGGACTCTCAGAGTCTCAGCCGCTGCGGTGGGAGATCTCTTGGCCGCTGTGGTTCGATTCGCTTGTTGAAGGCTTTAATTTCTCTTACAAGTTTTGCCTTATTCTCTTGATGTTGGCTGTTAATTTACTTATTTGGAATGTGTGTGAGCTAGCCATATTCTCAATGAATGAGAGAGAGGAGAAGGAAAGATAGAAAGAAGAAGGATTGACGGCGATGGAATCTAACGAAACTAAGATTGAATTGAGGAATCCATGAAAGAGAGATTGAACACAGGCTGTGCTTTTTTTTTCCGAGGAGTGAAAAAAATAAAACCCTAAGTGAGTAAGTGGGCTGGCTCAACTTAATTGAAGGAGGGATTTTACCCCCCTTGTTATTAATTTATTATCGGGTACCAAGGTACCTGCGAAAACTAAACCGCGACCCATGACTCGACCCGCGAATTGGCTATTTTGTTGGGTCGGGTAACCGTCCCGAAAAAATAAGAAAAAATGGTAAATTACCCGTCGGGTTTTTTTTGCGGGTAGTCTGGTCGGGTTTTTTTTTAACACTCCTAGTTTTGGCTGATTTTGGCAAGTTTGTTTATTTGCTTTATTCCTTAATTAAAGCCTTTCTATCCTAGTGTAGGGGTTATTATGAATTCCCTTAGGTTTTCCAAGCCAGTAGCCACTATGATATTATTATCAATCAAGATCAATAAAGTTTTTCCTCTCGCCTACCCGTGGACATAGCCAACTCATTGTTGGTGAACCACATAAATCGGTGTGTTATTTATTTATTTTGCACTCTTTATTTGTTCTTTCTCACATCCGTTACACTTACAACATACTCCATAGTCATATAAATATGCAAAAATAATGCTACTCTATTACATAATTTACATTAATTCCACTAGCAAAATGGCACGAAAATAGGTGCAGGTTGACACTGTTATTAGAAAATTTTGTCATGCTATAAGAGTCTTTAACCATGATACATAGGCCATGAGATATCTAACATCCTAAGAAAGGCAATGCCCTTGCACCTTCTCTCAAGACCCTCATTGCTTAAATAAGAGTGAAAATGGTTTATAATTATTCCATACTATAAACGGCATGTAAGCAGAAAAAATTTCAAGGTAGGCACTATCAATAATACACAAGACAACGTTGTAAAGCATAGTATACTTGGTGAGACGCACGACTATATCCTACGAATCCTAAAACGGTTAAAACTAGCGGAAGTGGCCATAAAGTTCGAGGAAGCAAATGCAAAATTTCCACGGTTCTGTGGGATCAGTGGTGGGGCCAGTCAAGAACACCCGAAAGAATCTGAAGGGAAGCAGAGCTTGGGGACCAGTCACAGGCCATGATGCAAACTGGCCAGGCTTGCAAATTTTCTGGTCATTGTTGTGTTCCCGTAGATTTGTCCAGTGCTTCCCATCCAAAGATCCTTGTAAATTTATTCAAAAGTATTATATAACTCTGTACAAATCTGCAAAGCTAATTCTCATTCGTTTCTTGAATAAACAGAAGGGAAATCTTCTTTGTACCTGAAGATTCCAGTGTCTGATAAATGTCCGTGAACCATCCTGTCTTAATGTATAGTAGTTGCACATGAGCTGCGACAATCAAATTTAGGAGGGATATTCAGATTTCAGATGATGGTTACAGATAGCATATATAGACAGTCAGTGCCAACACAGAACACCTTCGCTTGTTCTATACTTGGTATATGTTTAGACCCAAGTACAAGAAATAAAACAAGCTCAAAAAAAAAAAAAATTCGTTGGCTTTCAATTATAGTCCAACACCAAATTTTTTTCCTTCAGTGCAAAGATACACTCCTTCCATCCAGAGATATACTCCCTCCTTTCTTACAATAGTCGGGGATTGTAATTGGTTTAACCATAAAACCTTCGTTAAGATTAAGAAATGGGAAATATACTGGAATGAAGGAAAGATCAACTATTTTAAAGCCTGTCCAGTAAAATTATATATTTTATTACAAAGGGTTGAGACAATGCGGCTAAATATTTGAAGGAGAATTTCTCAACATTTTCTAATGCCACCCCTGTTTCAAGGCTCGGTTTTGTAATACAATAAAATCAAGGCTACAATTTCATGATCCTGATCTCAATAAGCTCAACAGTTGAGCAGTTGAGCTTGAGATCCCAGTTCCAAGGACCATAAGTTTGAGGCTTCTGTTATATTGTGGTTTGTCCAAACCTTGTCCTTCTGTTATATTGTGATTTGTCTTAACCTTGTCCTTCTGTTATATTGTGGTTTGTTCGAACCTTGTCCTTCTGTTATATTGTGGTTTGTCCTAATCTTATAGTTCCAACCATAAATTTGAGGCTTCTATTATACTGTGGTCCCACACCCCCCCCCCCTTCCCCCCCACCCCCTCTTTCTCCTCTCCTAAAAGCAGGAAAGCCTCCAGCTGTATCTAATCTAGGAAGGCGAATGGAAAGCCTTGCTTCG